ACCGTAAACTCTCATTCTATTTCCTTTCAGGATTACACAATTAGACATTAAGACCTACAGGGGTACTCAAGGAGATGTGAATTGTGAAGTGCAGGACACTGACCTTTTAGATTGTCACTGCACTCAACTGGAAAAAAAATCCTTCATGTTATAAAGTGAACTCCAATATAGTTCATTTGATTTGAACTCCTTTATGCCCTTGAAGGGTAACACACCATGAAATTAAAACTGCCCTTTAAAAAAATATGTAATTAATTAGCTATATTTTACAGAATGCACTGTTACGCGCCTTTAGTCCAATGTGGTTCCAATGATTTATTCAAAGACACATGAACGCCGATCAAGCTGTCATTGTCTCGCATCAGTCTACTTGCTCCAAATCCCTTCATTTCTTGGTGACAAACTTGCAGATTCGTGTTCCTGCTTGACATTGATGTGGCAGGACCTTTGATTAATTATTGATCTGAGAAGTCAAATGAAAATGGGGGCATTGTCTCCCATTATGTTCAGTGTTTTTTTGGGGGTTTTTTCTCCAGTGGCAGAACATTGCCATAAAAACATCCTCACATCTATATTTTATGTGTTCAGTGCCGGTTTTGGTCTCACCTTAATTTTAACACTGTTCCGATATAGTTTGAGATTTATCATCTTTCAGAAATCCATTTTTCTCCCCAATGCATTTTTTTAAAGTGCTGGTGTGGCTTCCAATACTCTGCTTTACATACAAATAGCTATTGACCATAAGGGTTTCCATGCCATTTATGGTTTTTGGGAGTTTTGGTTGCTCTTTTGAGGTTTTATTAATTTATTTCCTTTCTACCCTTAAATGTGCTACAGTATATCTATAGTACCAAGGAGACTGGTCAGCCAGCAGTGCTGTTCAACAGAGATAAAGGTAATGGAGTTCTCTGCCCTTTTCATTTAGGAGTCCTGAGATTTATGCTTTTATTCTGGACCGCAGTGCCATTATAGTTCTCCACCTTGTTTGTGTTAATGATGGAGTTGATAACAGGGATGGTGAGTCAGATTCGGAGTTACTCCACCTTGACCCTCTCATCATGTGTTATTCAGGGCTAACTTATTCTACCCATCCCCCTGCCCTTGTGTTTAAAGATTCATGCTACTGTAGATAGGGGGTTCAAATAAATTATTGATGTTTGGCCCATCTTCTGCTGACCTGAACATCTGCTAGGTCAAACAAGGCGGAGATAATGGGTTAAAATGCTTTATTTATTCATTGTTATTCTCCAAGTATTGGAGATGGTAGCGTTTGGCTTGGGATCTAGGTATATTTGCTCTTTGTTCAGCAGTTCATTTTTGATTCTTTACCACATGATGTAGTGCACCATGAAATATAAAATCCGGCCACTTTTGAATATTTTTGTACAGTTCATAAATATAGGGGTCTTGATCATCAGGGTTCCTTCTGTAATGGGAAACCTAGAAATAGGTCTTCAGCATTAGTGCTGTCAAATCGATTAATCCCATCTAACATTAAAAGTTTTTGTTTATGATGTGTGTATATTATATATACTATGTATATACTGTGTGTGTGTGTGTGTATATATATATATATATATATATTAGGGCTGTCCGTTATACACGTTATTAATGGCTTTAACGCAAACTGCGTAAATTTTTGTCATAGCAAACTTTGTAGTTTTCTTTCACATGCTTTTGCAACAGGACGCGGCATGCGCGGCGCTATGAAACCCATTCATTTCACTGGCCACGTGAGGACGTTAAGTTGCTTCGTCGACCAAAGCGCAAGCGTATCTAGCTAGACCGGAAACAAAACAACAGAAACGACACCGCACACACTCGTTTGGGCTTGCAAGCTGGCCAAATAGTTGGTTAAAGTTACGTTTTGAGTGGATGACGAGCGCGAGATGCCGAAATGGATGCCAATAAGATTCTGACTGGAAAGTTTACTTTACTAAAAAGTTGCCAAATGGTTCCATTGACAAGACCAAAGTGATCTGTGTGTTTTGTTGTTGTGAACTGAGCTGACGTTATCATCATCGCAGCACGTCCAGTCTGAAATACCACTTGATGGCCAAGCACACACACACACACAGCTGATTCGAATTCTCCGCCCCCTCGTCAATATCAGGACCTCGTCAGTATTTCTTTCACCCTTTTATTGATGGACAGTGTTACATTGTGTGAGAGATTATTTATATTTCAGTGTGAAGTTGAACGCAGTATATGGCAATGTTGTTTTCAATAAAAAAAAACATTTGCACAAAACAAGCTGATCCACTTTTCCATGTTGATAAGAGCATGAAAATGAGAAAAACGAATGGGTCAAAAAGAAATCAAGTGACATTTAGAATAGATAAAAATGTGAGATTAATTGCGATTAATCGTGAGTTAACTATGACATTAATGGGATTAATCGCGGTTAAATATTTTAATCGTTTGACAGCACAACAATATATATATATATATATATATATATATACATATTGGTGTCTACACACACTCTTATATAATATATAATACAATTTTACACGCATGTATTATATAAACAACAACTTCTACGTTAGGTGCGATTTTAATCACAATTAATCGTTTTGACAGCGCTAATAAATATCAATGATATCATATATGAAATAGAATGTCTTTCCCTAAATTTAGAAAATATTAATAATACTCTAAAATATTTTTAGTGAAAAATTGTAAGTGTAGTCCTTGCTGTAAAAGGATTTTATGTAATAATCTCCAATGACTGGATATATCGAAATTTTAATGGCCAAAAAAGAGTGGGAACCCTGTACCATTCAGCGTGTGTATTTGTGTGTGTGTGGTGGACACCCTTGGGTCCAGAGGTTTCATGTTGGTACACATCATGAACTTATATACCAGCCCAGAATAGCAGCGTGTCAGACACCCTCCTAGCATTTGCCACTGGTGGAGCCTGACTGAGGTATTTAAACTGCTGCCTCGAGCTACACGATTATCCCCAGCCGTGTGAAAAAGTTTCAAATCCGATGATCACTGTGTCACGCTCTAAATTCAAAGCTGATGATTTACTATAGATCTTTCTCACTCAAAATCTAGTCCCACAGACACATACTTTTGATTTTAGGTCATTAAGTCTTATCCAGTTTGCACTTATTCTGTCCAACAACTACACACTCAGGACAAGACCAACCACAGATTGCTTTGTTTTATTTGCTTTTTAGGAATAGATAAACCTAAAATTGATGGATGGCACAAAACAGACTTTTTAAACATGATTTTGCTTTGAAATCAGACAATTGATTGAAATGAAGCTTTGAATGAAACTGTGGGCCGCCTGTGGTTGATACTACACAAACATAGTTAAACTAGTCTGGGTATTGTATAACATTACCAGATGAAATAACATGTCTGTCATTGAAGTGCATTGTAATTAATGTCCCATTTTAGATGGCTTCATTAGAGTACTACTGCAGATCAATATGTGCAGTGATACAATCGCATGAAACCACAGGCAAGTGGCTACTTTTCTCCTGCCCATTTCTATCCAGAGCTCATTATAGCAGCATGTTGTGCTTGCTTTAGCCTCATTGTAAAATGAATTCTGATGGCACTTGAAGATCAATCCTTTGAATTATTTAAACTCATCTTGTTACCCAGTGGTGTGCCTGGAAAGGAAAGTCAGACCCATCACAAATGGCAAGTTGTAGTTTTACTGGTTGTCATCTTTTCCTCCTGATTACCATGACAACAACATGCTGTTTTTGGCACACACACTTCCCTCATTCATCTGTTTGCCTTGCCTGCAGAGCCAAGACATTGTCAGCATCAAAATAACTTCCCTTTGTCAAATATTTGTGTGGAAAAGCCTCTCTGGTCTCGTATGTGGGCCCGCGTTTGGCGTCAATGAGAGACTGTCACCAGCTAATGAGAATTCTTACTCCTCCGTGAGCAAGCGTTGAAACTGTTTGAGTTTAACAAGCTGGAAATAACTATGCCACATCAAGAGTTTCTCGAAATCACATTTGATTAGAGCCATACAGCTTTTATTGTAAACTGCTTTGAATGGCCTAAATTGAAGCTGAATTTGAAATGGAACTCCATGTCAGAGCCGCTTTTGTTGGCAAATTGCTGTTTCTCTCTTTCCATCTTTATCACTGTCGGTCTACCTCTCTTCGGTCACCTATTAGGTAAAAGTTACATTTTCATTCCTTTTTATGTTGTGATGTAAAAGTTCTAAGTTGCGTTTAAATACTAATGTAGTTTTAAGTTTGAGTATTTTTAAGAATGTCTGTATAGATACAAACAATAAAACATGCTTTCTTTGTCACTTTGAATGCTAACCATGAAATAATGGTTCTGAGGTAAGAAACATGACAGTGACTTGACGCATTCTATTTTCTGCATGAATTGGTGTCCATTGTTCAACATTTTATGTATAAAATGCTTAATTAACACTGCATGAAAATTGGAATGCAATATATTGATATGTTGTTTAAATGTATTGATTTTTATTTTTAAATTGGTATCTGTGGTATATTTAATTGTGCATGTTTTTACATTTATAATTTAATTACATTGTCATTTTTGCCAACTAAAATTTTGCCAATTTTTTTGGTGATGCCTAAATCCAGCATTTAGAATTTTTTTTTTGTTTTTTTGTATGTATGTTTTATTTCAAATGTATCTGTAAAATAGGGTAGATTTATAATAGGGTAGAATTTGATAATTATTATTCAGTTATCAGTTATCAGCCATAACAAGATAATTAATAATAATCCTAATTCTAAATAACAAAAATAAAAAACTGCATCCCTACATTTGATCTGATGGATTAAACAAGGTTAAATGTAGCAATATTGGGTTTATGTTGAACAAATTGTTTGAATGAACACTGTCTAGCAGCTTAAACCATGCATTTAGGTCTGTACAAAAGCTACTGAAGACACTGCTCACTTTTAAATGTTCATTTAAATACAGTAAAGTTCCCCAGTGCCTCACTTTGTCTGAAAACCTTTTTGTTGTGTTTTCTTTAGTGGACCAAAGCATGTTTGAGAACTGCAATGCTGCGGAACAGCCGAAGCTGAACTTTCGTCCAGCGGGCTCCACGGACACGTCTGCCCTGGCAGGATCCAGGACAGGTGGCAGCCAGCACCTAAAAAACGCCCTGAACTTGGGCAAAGCCATGGGTGCGAAGGTAAACGACTTGCTCCGCCGAAAAGATCCCAACAGCTTTGGAGACATTGGAGTCACAGAGGTGAATAAGAATGTAGAGCCAGTGTGGTCCAACCTGAATGAGATGGGACACAGTACAGCAAAAAACAGGTAAATTTCACACTCACTGCTGCTAATGGCAATGACCTCAATATGCTCATTATTCAATTGACTTCATGGTAAGAATAAAATTGCTAAGAAGTTGTCAGCCGTAACACTTGCTTTTGACATTTTAATGACCTTAGTGCTTGTACAGAAGCAGATTCAAGGCTGGACTGCGATGTGTCCCAAATTGATTCTCCATTTTACTGTCCTGTCAAACGTCAAATAAAAAAGGAAGTAAACAAAATGTTCCTCTAAACATGGGGTGATTGTTGATCTGGTTCCAATACACTTTAATCCACTAATGTTGAATAATTGTATTCCATCCAAAGTTTGTATATAAAGTCTGTAAATATACACAGATGTATGCAGTCCTGGTCAGAATGTATTGTACCCTTGGTATATGAATGTATATATATATATGAAGAGTTCAGATGCAAAAGCCTCTAAGTGCCATTTGAAATTCATTTTTATCAAGCTTGTATATTTAAGTTCAGTAATTTCACTTAAATGACAATTAATAGGTAATCTTCATTGCCATTTAAGTGCAATTACTGAACAAGCTTGATAAAGCTCTTCATTCCAGAAGAAAATTTCAAATGGCACTTAGAGGCTTTTGCATCTGAACTCTTCATATATATATATATATATATATATATATATATACAGTACATATTTTGGTTGACAAAAATAATGTAGTATCTGAAATTTAACGTGTTAAAATATTTAATGCAATTAATGCAGCATCCAAGTCCTAAGTCCTAATCCAGCATCCTAAGTAAACTTAAATTAAAAGTTAAAAAATATTCATTAAAATTATACCTTTAAATGTAAACTTTATAAATGAATTATACTCTTATTATAAAATCTTCTAATACAGAAAAAATGTGCGATTCAATTAGTTAAATCGCTTGATGGCACTAATATATTGATCAGTTCATTCAGTCCTTACAGACCGCCATTCATCGTGGCAGATGGCCGATCATATTTTTCTGTTGCAGTTCACATTTCTTTCAGCTGTGAATGTGAAAACAGGAGGAATGTCTTTGAACACTGTTATTATATGAGAACGCCATGGGTTACTGCTGAGATTTGACTGACATCTCAGAGAGAGAGAGAGAGAGAGAAAGTCTTTTCATGCAGGCAACTGTATCCACCATCATTATCAGCAGCCTTCAAGAGAATGTACATGTGTTTATGAGTCATTGTGTGTGTGTTGCATCAGGCCAACTTTGACTTATCAAGGGTTTGGTTTAATTGGCTGAAATCTTACCAGTTTTGCAACATAGTATACACATTCCTTCCAGCTTTTTTATTATACCTGCTTGTAAATATTATGGATATAATGCATTTATGATCAATTGTAGTGCTTGCTAAGACATTACTAAGTCTCATACTTGGAGTTAGCACTTTAAACAAATGCCTACTTTTAATGTTGGCCATCCTTCACCATGTGTGCCACGGGAATGAATGATACGTTTAAACGGATAAATAAAATATCCCATAGACTTCTCATCAGCTTTCATATCTTTAACAGACCGAGTGCAAATTCCCCTATCATAAAATAATAAATGAAATGATGCATTTACAAGAAACCAATTTCTTATCATCTATAGAAAGGCTGTTATTGCATAGCATGTGACATTATTGAGGGAATTGTGCAGTTATCATGGGAGATTTATGGTAAGTTCATTAAATGACTGTGAGCATCCCATGTGACTCGAGGACCGTGACGTTATTGCATCTAATGTTCTTGTTCATGGTCATTCACGCAGTATACACTGGAAAAATAACCTTTTTTTTCTATTTTAATATATTTTGAAATGTAAATGGTTTATTTGAAGGCAAAAGCTGAATTATCAGCAGCCATTACTCCAGAAACATTTCTTATAATTAATGTTAAAAACAGTTGTGCTGTTTGATATATATTTTTTTTTAGGAAAGTCAGAAAGAACATCATTTATTTGATGTTACTTTTACCTTCTTTTTTTTTAATACATTTTATTAAAAAAGGGTCATGTATAATTATTATAGAAGATAAAACTTTTACATGGAGTGTAATGCCAGCTATCAACTTTCCAAAGGTATTTTAAGACCGTTTGGCTGCTCGCTTTCCTCCTTTAATAAGATTTGTTCAAATGAAGTGTACTCTTGTATTACATCGAGAGATGGTGTAGTCTTACAAATATTTTTTTCTTTTTTAGTAGTATCATTTTGGACCACCATGCAAGAGAACTGAAGAAATTCAGCCCGCATGTTTGCTCTGATCTTTCATTGTCATTCTGTCTTGCACGATCACATTGCGTCTTTGCTGTTTTCCTTCTCTAATACAGTCACATGTCCCTGGACTCCTTCCCTCGGCTTGATCCCCCACCTCCCACCGGTAAAAAGCGTCTCCCACGTGCCCTGAAGACCACCCAGGACATGATGATATCCTCTGACCCCGTGGTGGCCTCCCCAGAATCCTCCTTCGTCTCCTCACCTGACAAGATCACCAAAGATAAAGCTGAGCTTCAGTCTGAACCGAGCCTTGAAGAGTCCGGCCTCGAGAACCCTTCAGAACCTGGCGACCGTGTCAACAGCCAGATGGAGAAAAGGCCCGGATTAGAACTAAAAAACGAGCCCACAGCTGTGGTGACGGATGAGAAAGATTCTGAGGCTGTCGATCAGTCACAGCTGCTGCTTTCTGTTCCAGATCTCATTCACAAAGACAATCTGGACCCAAAGAAACTGGCCAACTCAGAAACTAGAATGGCTTCCACCCCGTGTCCAGGGAAAGGGGGCTGCCGCATCAGCGTCACTGAGGGGGAACTGTTGGGGAACGGCACTGTGGATTACCGAACCCTCAACTCGGAGAACGAAGAATCCCACCCTGACCTGCTGTCATTTGAATAACAGGCTTCCACAATGGCCAAAAGTGTCTTGAATCGGTCATTTAGACTGCTTTCATTCTGCATTTCATATTTTGCCTTTATAGCAAAGTACCACTGATTGTACTTAGTTATTTCGTAGATATAATTATTCAAATGATGAAAATCACTGGGGGGGTTTTGTATTCATAGTAGCATAATTCTTTGAAAAATTGTATTTTAAAGAAAAAAAAACCATGATGAATTAATTAACACAAACCAAAGTCAATACTACACTGCAAAAAAAAAACTTTTTTTCCAGTCAAATATTCCAGTAGAATATACTGGAACTTCAGATGAATTAATTTACTTGAAAAGCAACACTGCATAAGATATTAAGACAGTTTCTCGTTATATCTTGAATATTAGTCTATTTTGTATTTCTGTTTGTAACATGACAGATTGACAGATTTGTTCACACAAGTATAAACACGACAGACAAAACATTTATAATGTTACAAAAGATTTCTATTTTATATAAATGATGTTCTTTTCAACATTCGATTCATCAAAGAATATTATTCAATATTTTAAGCGGCTGTTTACAACATTGACAATGATACTAAATGTTTCTTGAGCACCAAATCAGCATCGAAGCTTAGCTTTGCCATCACAGGAATAAATTACATTTACATGTATGTTTCTGCTTACTTAAAGGGTACATATCATGCTTTTAAATCATTCATTTTTACATATAAATCATACCGTTGTGGTCTATATAAAACATAACTGCAATGCTTGGGTCTGAATTCCTCATTATTATAGCTCCACGGGCCCCTTTTCTACCCCTTTTCTGATGTGCGTCTTTGAGCGACCCGTTTCAAAGTGCCCCCTTTAAATAAAAAGGAGATGCGTCACACCCCGCCCGCTCTCCAGGTCGATGTCGACGGTCGGTTCAACTCCCCGCGTTCGGCCATTATTGTTGTAGTTTGATTACAGATATACGATTATATACGATACCTTCAAAGAACATTTTTATTCACACTTTAATAAAATGTCAACAACAGAAGACTTGTCCTTCAAGCCTTACATATTCGAGCCAGAGCGAGCGAGTTGATAAAGACGACGACGAACCTGCAGAACAACCTCTTCATGTATTGGTATGTGAGTTAACTGTTTTGTGTTGTTAGTGAAAGTCGACTGTTTCTCTTGTTAAAACAAGCACACTGACCAGATAAATGAATGACAAATGGGGCACATATTTTACAAAAACGGAGCGAGAAATAATAATGGTGGATTGCTCGAAGTGTTGGACCGGTAGTCAATGTCTTTATTTGTCAGTTCCGCTGCAAATACAGTGACATGATAGTTCAAAAAACGTCATAGAGAACAGAAAAATCTGAACAGGTTGAAAAATATGACCAAAACAGAATACAAATATATAAACGAAGCACCTGAAGAGAATAATTTCATCTTTTCTGTACTTATAAACACTCCAAATATACAACAAAATGCATTTAAGGGCTAAAAAAGTGGATTTTGCATGATATGTCCCCTTTAAGTAAATTCAGCCTTGGTGAACATAAGAGACTTCTTTCCAAAAATTTGTACCAACTGCAAACTTTTGAATGATAGTGTACATTCTTGAAAATAAGTCTTATTTATGCAGTGTTGTAAAATTTGTCTCTAAAAAAGTATGTACATTTATCTTCTTTATTGGATTTTTAGACATTTTTTACTGGAAAATTAGACAAAAATACTCATTAAAAATATATCTTTTTCTGCAGTGTTACTGTAATACCTCTGAAGCTGTCTTTACGGTTTTATAAGTAGGCAGCAATTCATGTCTTTGTTTTTGGTTTTTTTCTTCATTTCAATTTTACAAGCTTGACTTTATAGATGCTAGTGTTGATGTGTTTATGACCACATCTCTGACCTTGTGCTCAATGTCATGATCACATGGCCTTGGGTCAGTCCATGAAGCAGTATGCAACTAACGGTGCTTCCGTGTTGTTTTTGACACTGACCTCTATCAACTTTCAAAGTCTCATAGAGAGTCTAGGATCATACCTTAGCGATAATCGTCAAGGTGCCGATGGCTTGAGGAATGTCAGTAATGAGGCTCAGTCAACATGAAGGTATGCTGAAGGGTTCTGAGATTTCCTGGAATGCCATAACTCGACACTAATCTCGATCCTCGTCCTCTTGTTTGTGTAGACAGCCCGACTCCTGTGACATTCTCTCAGGCCAGTTCTTTATCACACACAATGGCTCCTCTGGAGAGATTTCGAGCTTTTCCGTTGCTAACAATGCCGCTATTTACACTCCCATTATTTATAGAGATACACTGTCAGCCTGCATATATGTACGGATGTACTGAGATGTCGATTGCAATTCAAAGCTGCAAGTCTTGGCATAAAATAGCTTTTATGCATTATGAAAGAGGACTGAACGAACGTTTTGAGTTGTCATGTATGTTTTGGCATCATAGCATTAATTAATGCGCTTTATGAATGTCTTTTTGTACCACGTGTTTTGGTTACACTACCGTTTTGTGCAATCATCCATAATAACTCAAAGTTTGAACACTAAAATAAGAATTCAGAGTGTACATTTGCAGGTGATGAGTTGATTAATTAAGATGGACCACTTGTACTGTGTTACTGGATCATCAGATATGAAGTCAAAAAGTATTTTATGAAATGCCTTTATAACTTCTATGTATAAGTGCTGGCAAAACAACAGCTGAATGAATGAATGAATGAAATATAAGGATATTTATCTTATTGTTTTAGCTTTTTTTAGACTGTTTAGAGTTGAGAAGATTCTTGATTGAAACTTAACATGGTGGGAACGTTATTACTAATTTTTCTGTGATTTTATGTTTTTTTAATTTCAATCAAAGTGGTTGCATCATTGTCACGGTTTGTTTGAATGAAGGAAAAAGAATGTTGAAGGAAAAACACATGTATATGAAGTTTGTTTTCAGTGCACTGAAATGTATTTTGAGAAGCTGGATATATTAAAGTGATTTCCCATTATACAAATTGTCTATTCATTACAGGAAAATGGATTGTATGCAACTTCTTTTTCATTCAAGGCAATTTACAGAAGGGAATTTACAGGATCTGTAATAAATGTATTATGAACTATGATGATTGCAGTGCATGAGACACGCCACTAAACCTGCAAGCTTTTGCTTATCAGAACCGATTCTTAACCATGAAGCTGCCATCACCCTAAATCCACCAAGTAATGCACTAGCTTTTCTGCATCAGAATCAGGTAATATGTTCTTTTGCTTAGCAATGTTTCTGAGGTGGAAAAAGGTTGTTATTGTAACGCATGAAATATGATTTGTGAAAATCAAGTTGCTGTCTAATATAACACCCAGGTCTTTAACTGTAGAGGATGAAGTAACAGTAAATACTTCTAGATGCTGATTGTATTTTAAGAGATTTTGTACAGATTTTTGGTCCAATAAGTAATACCTCAGCCATATCCAAATTTAATTGAAGAAAATTACTGGTCATCCGATGTTTTACGCACTCTGTCAACTTGGAGAGATTTCTTGCAACTTTAGAGATTTTTTCTGGTGGTGATGAAATGTATAACTGAGTGTCATTGACTTAACAGTGGGAACTAGTTTTCTTAAGTGGCAGCATATATATTGAAAATAGCAGAGGGCCTAACACAGATCCTTGTGGTACTCCATAATTTACTGATGTTATCTTAGATTTTTACCTGTTTAAATAGACAAAATGGTAAAACCGTATCGCTGATTATTTATCCTGTTTGCCTAATTTAGACCACACATGTGCCAAACTTAAAGAACCATACTAAACAGTTTTTTTTTTTGTTTTTTTTTTTTGGAGATCTTTATTTTGTGTTTGTTTGATTGTTCTATCTAGTGGCAGTCAGATGAAATGTGCATGGTGACTGTTATCAAAGTGGAACATACAAGGTGAAGTTGAACAAACAATGTTTTAATATTAATGTTCATGTCTCTTTGTCTTACCGGTTCCTGGAAATGCCTTGTAGGGGCCACGAACAGGAAACCGATTATATGTCATCCTGAAGGGGAGGATATGGTCTATTAAGAGTATTTAGACCTAAATCTCATGAATGTTTATGTGTTTGAAGGTTTTCTAAGTAGTAATGTAACTTGTTAAAGATAGACATTATCAATATATAGTTGGCGTTGCCAATACTCTGAGAACCATATATAGTTAATAACTGATGAAGAGTAATTGGTAACATTAAAAACTATATAAAAGAACAGATGAAATGTTTGAAGGAAGTGAAAAGGGGTGTTTGGTTGGATCAGTTGCCAACTGTGTAACTTATTTTTCCCTTGATTTTTTATTTATTTATTTATTTATTTTTTATATATGATGAGTTTTACTTTGAACAAATTTCTTTTAAATTTCTTTTAAGCCCCCAAAACCCCATCGCCGTGTGAACGAAAGGCACATCCGATAAAATATTTTTACGTTTTCACCCGCGAGCATTCTCGTGTAAACAGTATGGTGTTCCTAATAATCCTTTAGGTGATTGTATGTTTATACAGTATACACTTCCTTTCAAAAGTTTGGGGTCAGTACAATTTTTCTGTAAATTTTTGAGCGGACACATTCATTTTCTTTAGATATTTTCATTGTAAAAAAAAAAAAATCGGATAAATTATGTTCTTTTGAAACTTCCATTAATCAAAGAATCCTGAAAAAAAAAATCACTAAAATATTAGGTGAAGCAGTGCTACTGTTTTCAAAACATATCTCAAACCATCATATTAGAATGATTTCTGAAGGATCATGTGGCATTGAAGACTGGAGTAAACTGAAAATTCAGATTTTACATAACAGGAATACATGTTTTTAACTGTATTTTTTAATGCAGCCTTCTTGAGTACGAGATGTCTTTCAAAAACAAAAAAATCCTTACCGAACCCAAACTTTTGAACAGTTATCTGTAAAATTCTTTTGGACAGAATGTCAGAATGTAGATCAAATGAGACATTTTTCAGATTGGATGTATCATGTTGCTGGAGAAGGAAGAAGGGGTACTTTAATTTAGTGCTGGATTTCTTGCAGGAGGAGAGGAATGCATTGTCAGTATTCATTTGGTGTCCTTGTACATCTCTCTGTAGAGATTTTTTTCTTGTTTCTTTTACAGTCCTATTTACCCTTGAGTATTTAACTTTCTGTATCACCAAAAAATATGAGACCAGCCTGAATGATCACTTATACAATATTACTACAAAGTTACTACTAATAATTTACTACTATTGTTCTAGTATCCAGTTTAAGATTATTATAAAAAATACTTGAATCTCTGGTCATTTTGTTCTTTAAATATTAAGATGGTTGAGATATTGTGAAATTATCTTTATCTGCACATATGCAGTAATAATCGTTCCTATAAATAATCACTATTTTTGTTGTTGTTCATTTGCACATTTTACTTACTGAGAAAGTTTTGTATTTTATGTTGTTAATGTAAGTGTGTGGGGGGAGGGGGGATAAACAAACACATAAATGTAGTTTCTGTAGCACAAAGTTTAACGGGGTCCCAGTACTGCTATGTTGGCTAAAAGAGCAAATTATGTAAGGTGAGAGAAAGTTTTTCAACAGTAAAACTCTCAGATCAGGGATTAATACGTCACTCACCTGGAGCTTCTGGCAGTTCTGCAGGCAT